GAACGCGCTCCCCGCCCGGGCAGGCGGCGTCTGCGCCCAGCGCGAGCCGGCGGGGGAAGGAGGCGAAGGGGGAGGAGAGAGAGCGGCCGCTTCCCTTCCCTTCCCCGCCCCGAGCCGGCCTCCTCCCGCAGCATCCCGCAGGCGGGACCCTGCTGCGGCCAGGGCCTGCGCGTGCCCCCGAGACCAGCCTCAGGCCCGGCCCGGCCCGGCCCGGCCCAGCACGCGTCTGGAGCAGGCCCCTGGCACGGCGCAGACCTGCCACCAGGCCAGTAGCCGTGGCCAACGGCCTGCTTCCACGCGTGCTTGTCAACGGGCACTCGAGAGAGAGGAGAGGCCGTGCAGCAGAGGAAGGCGACTGCCCCAGTCCCTTCCTGACCCCAAACGTGGCATCATTTAATCCGAATCATTACAGGACTCATGCGACAGTGTCTTTGGATTATTTGTGCCCCAGCTGTTGTAACTGCACCCCCCACGCCCTCCTGGATCTGCCTCTGTGTATTGACATCCTAAGTGCAGAGGACGGCTGGCCCTGGGGCAGGGGGCTAATGGAGAGGGGAGTTCAGATTGCAGGTGGAGAGAGAAAACCCTGGGCTGGGTGCACCCCGGCTGCGCTCTGCCTGCCATGATGCACCAGTGCAGTGGTTTTCACCCTAGTTGGACTCTAGCCCCCCTCTGGGAAAACGTCTGCTCTTAGTTTCTACCGATCTTTTTAAAAATAATAGGGCAATTCTTGGCTAATAGAGCAATTCTTCTGTTGCAACCGGCTCACAAAGACCAGGCCTGGTCAGAACGGTTTTGATACTCTGGGTTCCTATCTGAAAGTGAATCACGTTTGCACTCCTACCAGTGCTAACCTAGCTGCGCCACAACACCCCTGAAAGGATCTTGCATCACCTGGTTGAAAATCACTGCTGTCTTACTGCACACAGCCAGGCTGGAAAGGCTGCAATTTGCCCGGTATGTGCACTTAAGGGAGCTCAGCAGAAACAGTGCTCATGAACTACAAGCGCTGCCTTCCCTAAGCCTTTTCCCTTTTCATTTAGGCGCCGTTTCTTGTCCTTATCGTTCCAACGGAGGCTTTGAAATTGATACGGCCAAGTCAGTTCAGGGCTGCTTCCGAAGCCCTGAAGTGGAGGGCTCAAGAGTCAATCTCACCTCCAAGTAGTAGTTACTGTACCAAGTAAGACAGCAAGGCAAGGCGTTCCTATGCCCATAGCTATTCAAGCACTTAATTGACACACTGGCAAAATGCTGAGGGTGTGGGCTGGGATTGTGCTGCTATAACTGCGCTTGTGCTGGAGTGATTTATTCTAACCGCACCCCTATCCCAACCAAATCTAGTATAGTGGCAAATGTGTAGGTTTGCCAGCCTGCCTGTGTCTGTGCTAGCTACAGGTACACTTGCAAGTACAACTATGGCAGAGAGCAATCACATCTCAGTACCCTTCTAACCACCATCATTATGGCAGCAAAGCTTGCAGTGGCCTTTGTCACAGGCCTTAGTAGTCTGGCTGTCTATACGTCTTCGCTCTCTGGAAACAGGCAGGTTTATTACTGCAAGGTAGCAAATGCCTGTTGGTTTTCCCACTGCGGGAATATACTAGGGGCTGGACTTGATCTCATGAGGTCCCTTCCAGCCCCCTATGAAACCGGGGACCAGGCACCGTGTGGTTGTGCCAAGAAGTACGGTTAACATGAGACGGTGGTACACTGCTGTGACACAGTTTCCCATCTCTAAAATGAGGACAGAAATAGTTCCCTCCTGGTGAGGATAGATGCAAATAATCTAGTAAGGCCCTCAGATACTTCAGGACATACCAAAGATAGACAAAAGTTTTTAAAATAGACAATACGTGCAGTGTATTTGTAAATGGGCACACCCCTCCTAAATACAAGTCTGACCAAAAAAAGACTAATGCTGCTGTTTCTAAAGCGAGGCCTACAGGGAAAAATGCAGCCCACAAGCCCTTTTGATACAGCCCCAGTGCCCAGGGATGAAACTTTGGGAGCCTCTCCTCCAGCAACCTAGCCTTGGCTCAGGGCTGGTTGTGTTGCAAAGAAAAGCCTCACAGCCACCTGGTGTTAGTAGCAGAGATCACAACCCTGCCCACCTTCTCTGGGGATGTGCTTCACTTCCTGCACCACATCTGCAAGTAGGCAAGTGTCCATCCTTCTGGATCATGGTGCATGCAGGAGAGGTCACCAGGACCTCGGACGTGTACACCTAGGCAGGAGTGCGGAGGAGTGAAGGCTGCCCAGACCTTCCCTCTCTGCTTTAGGTCGTTGGGACCGTATCCAAAGGCCAGACCGAGTCTGGATGTTTGGTGCCTCGATGGCTGTAGTTATACACACATCCAGGAATTGAACCCGGCGCTCCTGCATAGCAGAAAGGGATTCTACCACTGAACCCCCAGATCTTCTACCCTGAGAGGAACTGGACACACTGCTCTACACGCAATGGATTTATTTTTAAAATCTTTATTTGTAGTATATGCCCCTTTCAGGGTTACCTTTTTTCACCGACTGCTTCAATTTTGGATGCCATGGGGAAGCAGGACTCTTGCCTCTACTTTCTAACAAAATCTGTGTCTGGGGGAGCTGAGGCTACCTGTCAATGCCTCACTTTTCACAAGCAGCAAAGTTAAGCAACTGGAGAAGGGGTCCCCCCAGCCCCACACAAGATTTGGGTTTTGTGTTGTCACCGCTGAGGAATGCTGTGCAAGTTTGCTGTGTGGTCAATATAGAGAAGCCTGTATTAAATGTGATCTTTGGAACAAGCAGTTGCAAATATTTCTCCTAAAAGACAGTAAGAGATCTGAAAAGTCATCAGCCTGCATCACACACCATATTTCCCCACACACAAGTACGCCCATTTCGAAATGGGGATTAGTCAAAGAAAAAAAAAGTACGTATTTATTTGTGCATCAGAATTTCCACGGAAGTCCTTGCGAGGAAAAACTGCATTTCTTTCCAACTGCTTCTGTCCGAAAAAGCGTTACGTCTTCTTGCTTGGTGTGCTCGGGCTTCTGCTTTTCTTCATCCGAGCAGGACCTCACTAAACAAAAAACATGTGGAAAACAGCTTTAAACAAAGTATTTTATCCAGTGTTAGGCCCTGCTCCACCAAACAGGCCAGGGCAGTGACTCATTTGACTTAAATCCTGCTGGCTGAAGGTTCACTGGTATGTATTCAGTTGAAGGACTGGAGTCCTAGTGCTTATGGAAGAAGGTGGACTGACACTCTTGAAGGTGATCCCAGCCAGGCCACATTTCACGTACTGCTCGCTACCTTTTCCATGCTGTTACGGGGGGGTTATATACTTTTACCTTTTGATTACATTGCTGTTTTGACATAAACACGCTACGCAAGGATTTGGAAAGCAATCAAATGATATTTTTCCCCACCCTCTCCTCTGTACACGCAGACGTGCGTGACATGCCGTCTCCGGGCTGAGACACCGCTGCAGTGGGAAGACTTTCCCAAAGACGCTAGGTGGAGGTCTGGCAATTAATCAAACTAAGAGCCAACTCTCCGTGCGAGCGGGCTGGGTACACGGCGGGGTAGATCACACACCGTCCCCTATGCTAGTAGTTCTCAGCCTTATTAGACTCTGGGCCCCCCGCTTGGAAGATGCCAGCTCTTAGCTTTCACTTATTTCTTGATGACAGAAAAAATAATAAAGCAATGCTTTGGGGGCCAAGAGCCCAGAAAGCCCAAATCCGAATGGGTGAGACAACAAGGCCGCCCATTTGCAATCGCTGGGTTTCTCTCACGTATCAGGCCTCAGTATTTGCACACCCAACCATGCCAACGCTGCCCGGCAGTGCTCGGGGCACGCGGGCCTAGGCCCAGCACGAACAACTAGAAGCCCCCTTAAAAAGGGAGGCTGCTCAGCAGGCAAAAGTGACGGCTCAGGGCAATCACAAAAGAAAACAGGAAGGGAGCGCGTTACTGGCTTTCGAGGACAGGCTTTTGGGCCACCCGGGGCAGGCTCTGGGGTGGGTTTGGAGCCTCTCAGGGCAAGCTCTGAGGGCGGGCCTGGCGCCTCTGAGGGCGGCCCGCGCCGGCCGTGGTGGGCAGGCGGCGCG